TCTTCAGTATCATTCACAACACGTTTATTCCAACCTGTAAAGTCTTATGGTAACTCTTGGAGATTGGAGAACTCTGTATTAAATTTGAACAATGTTACATATACACCTAATTTACTGAATGAAGTTCTTATTCGCTTATAGTAATATTTATCAATCCTCTTTAGATATAATAATAACGTAAGTCGGTATAATTGAGAATTTTCTTATCACGTCACGATGATTAATTTCATGCACTTAAGTTTTTCTGTTGTTTTATACATGAGCATTATGTAAATTGTGAACAAGGTGGGTCAAGAACACGTCAAGCTAAGTAAGAGTCAAGCTTGTTATGCAATTTACTGTACACACGAGTACTTCTAAAGATAAAAGTTCACGTTTCACTCTTAAAGAACTAATTCGAAGTCTTATGCAAGTAATTCTTAGTGCGACGTTGTTAAGGAGTTAAATTTATGCCCGGTTCTCTTCTACATAATCGACATTAAATTATTTTATTATTTTTCATCGTACAGTCAAATATAAAAATGGAACTCTAATTTCGAAAACTATTGGCCAAAAGAATGATACGGTGAAGAACTGGACAAGGAAGGTCCTCTACAGTCATGTATTAAGTATATTGTGAATTAATTAAGATAATCGGAACTCGCAAGGATTTCAACTACTGTAAACAGACACGCGTTTTTACGACACGCAGTTGTACATTTTTTTATCATTTGTATACCTATTAAGTCGTGCATTTGCTAGTTAGTAGGTATACAGAATAATTGAGTTCGCTAATATGCACCGATTATAATTTGATTTATTTACGCAATTACAAACAAATACCTATACATACCATATATACGATTTTCGCGATTATTACACAATCGCGTGTATTTGTTTTTTCAAACAAACCAACTTTCAGCCCCTTCACAAGTCAAAAAGGGCCCGAGATGTCGGTTTATATACGCAATGGTTGGAATATAAGCAATTCAAATTCGAAAAGACAGTTTCATTTCCAAAGTACTTAAAAATTTAGCGAGTAATCTATTACAATAAACTTAAACATAAGAAATATGTAAAGAACATGTCATTTGTTACAATGACATATTATGGTCTTAGAAATAGTGAACTGAAAATTATTATAAATTTCAAATTAAATTAAATTTTTATAATTGTTCGTAATGAGAAATAGGATTAGCCACACGCCAATTAAACTGCTTTAGAATGCCAAAGATTTATAAATTATAAACTACGTGCAGTCAGTGTCGGCTTTATTTTTGGTGCAGGATGTTGTGGTCTTAGAGGCGCCGAGCGCCGTTCGCGACTCATCTCCAAAGTGGTTGCATCGCTCGCAGCGCAAGCGAAGTATGCGGGCTATTGCTTTCCAATAACATTTCTAATTGCACCATTTGCACCCGAATTTCCGATCACTGGGGAAAATGTAACTGTAAGTATACCATTTTGATCGCGTACCTAATACAGAGAGCCGCGGTATTGATTGCACCCAGGGCGCTACGTGGGTTAGCCTCGGCGCTGCGTATAATAGTTAGTTGAAACAATTCAAAATCTTGTATTTGAACGAGTATGAACACAGGAGTCACCATACTTATTATCACAAGGTCCGCTTGAGCAGGTCAGAAAAATTTTTAGGTTCATGCATTAAGAGCGAAAAAGACGTTGCGAGTTTCGCTTCTACTCGGACCGCCCCAAACCGGAAAACACATCGATTTCGCACTTATTATTATTTGAAATGATTCGAAAAACCTACGTCGGAGTAGGCAATCGACGACGCTAGCCCATTTAGCGCCCCAGTGCAATTCGTAGCCTGGCGCCCTCTAGTAGGTTCACAATCAAAATGGAATATTTATAGTTATAATTTCCCCTGTGATCGGAAATTCAGGTGTAATTATCTGCCTCAGTGGCCAAATGGCTACCATACTGGACTGCCACGCGGTGGTCCCGGGTTCAATTCCCGGGCCGGGAGAAATATTTGTACGGCCAACATTTATTTCTCTCGTGAGTTTAGGTGTAATTTGTGGTTGTGTATGTGTGTGTCCATGGCACCCGCGACACAGAGTTTCCCTAGTGGCTATGAGTGTGTGCGTTATATATAATTATAAAAAATAACGCTGAGAATTAATAGTCCATTAACTTCGTTTGCGCCGCGAACTACACTGCATGATGCAGCGTAGGTAAAGCCGACACTGGGAGTAGGCAGCAAGCGTAAACGAGGCTATCACTGCTACTGTGAACATGCCTAGAGAACAAAAACGTCACAACACTTTTTATTATTGTAATTTTTTTTCTGATTCAATACGGAAACTTAATGCATTTTTGAGTCACTTTTATAGTTTTGGAAATTTTCGATAAAGTACTATATTACCAGGAAATATTCACTGCCGATAATCTGTTTATGCAACCCGATATCGTACAAGCCACGTAGGTACATTATATTATATGACATCGATTTTATTATGTCAGGAATTATATGACTTAAATTACATTATAAGATATGATTGATATAGCGTTTTCCTCTGTATTCTACGCTAAAAGAAAGCTTCGCCGTAGTCAGGTAAAAATTATATTATCTAGTCCT